TATACGTACAAATGGTATCAGAGCTAGACACTGGGTGGTGGGTTAGCAAGTACATTGGGTCTCCCAAGAGGTGAATTGTGAGATCCCACATCGATTCAAAAGGAAAACGAATCATTCTTCATACGAGTGTAGAAATCTCTCTCTAAAAGACGCATTTTAAAAACCATGAGACTGAAGACTATATGTACAAATGGTATGAGAGTCAGAGAATGGGTAGTGTGCTAGTGAAGACACTTGTCTGGAAGGGGTGGACTGTGAGATTCCACATCGACAGTAGATGGGAACGAACCATTCCTTATAAGGGTGTGGAAACCTCGGAAACGAAACATTACTTATAAGGGTGTGGAAACAAACGCGCTTAAAACCGAAAAGCTAACGGCAAAACATAACGGGCTAAAGTGGGCAATATTTGCTAACGGTGGGCTTAAGCTGTTACATAATTTTACTTGAATTAAATTTTATTAAAGTATAATTATACAATGAAAAACGAATGTTATTAAAAGGTTAATATTATATTATAGCGTTAAAAATGTTATTATAAATTTAAAATAACACAATATTTTAGCTATACTAAACATATTATATAGCTTTAATAAAAAATAAAAATAAAAATGCCATAAAATATGTTCATACCAACGAATATAAGCTATCCTCCATACTATGTTATAACATCCATTATAGCTATAAAAAAATGTTATAAAAAGTCTCGAACTTTTAATAACATGGTGATATGGACCAAAAGACATCAATCATACAATATGCTTGAACGAAGATATGAAGAAAATATTATTGAAATTATCAAAAGATATTTCAATTCATGGCACACTGAAAGAAGAATGAAGTTTTATGTTATAAATTTTGGGTGGATTAATTTATAGTTCTTGTATTTCATTAATGTATTTTAAGACTTTTTATTTACTTCCGGTTACAATTACATCATGGTTAATTATAGTCATTAAGTATGAATGTTACCACTCTTGGAATGCATTTATAGGGGGACTTGAAAATATATATAAAATGAGCATTTGTGCTTTCTTTAGCCAATGGCTAAGTTTATTTGCAATTCTATATAGCTTAGGTTGAATGTAGAATCATTCAAGCTTGACATGATCAATCTTGCTTGTGGAGTGATTCGAATCTCAAACAAGTGTTTGAGATATTTGATCAATAAGAATCATTCAAGCTGGACATGATCGATCTTGCTTGTGGAGTGATTCAAATCTCAAACAATATTCTTGCTTTGAGATATTCGATCAACAAGGTAATCTGAATCTTAATCTCCTTGTAGTGATTCCTTATCTTATCACATGGATTGTCCGACATACGAAAAATGATATAAGAAGCCTACGATAGCATTCTTTGTAAACTATCATATCTATTATTTCTTGTAGGGAAACAAATGACTCTCACTCCATTACTGAAAAAATAACTACCATTCAACTCCGTATTCTATCGCGCAAAAAATGGTTTAAATAATAATAATAATAATAATAATAATAAATTCTATTTAAAAAATATATATACTATATATTTTAGTACAAATTTTTTTTAAATTAAATTAATTTTAAGATTTATCAAAATATATATATATATATATAGTCGCTTGCATACTTTTAATGTGACACATTAATTATTGAAACCGGTATGGATTCTATTTTGCATTGCAGTTAGGTGCACAAAAGGTGTGACCTTTCTAGTAATTAATGTCTTTCTTTTTTAGTATAGGTAAAGCACTCTTGTACCAATGATAACGTAGTCGTGCAAGCCATGAGAATGATGTCAGGAGAATTGCATTGTCGCTATAAAAAGTCTTCGGCCTAGTCTAGCATCTACACTCTAACCCACACGTAAACCGCCCACGAACGCTAGCAACCTACATACACATGTCCGACCTGAGACATAGTCACGTCAGCCCGAACTACCAATCGTGCGTTGACTTGAGCCTTAACCGTGCCTTCTCTTCTCGTGTCAAGCCGCCTTTAGAATTCAAGTTGTGTGTGGCTTAGTATCCTAAAATAGGATGTTGTGGAACTTCTTTGGTGAATTTGGACTTCAATATACCGATTCAAGCTAGCGTTAAGGCATTATAGTAACTCCGACTTAGGTTAATCATATAAGTAGTTTTTCAAATATTAGATTATTATTATTTTTTTTTTTCCTATTGACTCAATTCCTTTGAGTTTTATTCTTGTGAACATACTTTCTAGGCGGGATACTTAAACACATTAGTTAAGTACCCATCATCAGCTAGGATTATTGGGGTATTAAATCTCATTTGCTCCCGTATCTTATTGGGGCCCATTTGCTCCCCTATCTTTCTTCTCTTATTGTCAACGTTCGCTCAATAGAGCACTTTCACCAATGATGTTCTCTCTGTTGAGAATTGTTGGAAGGGAGTCACACGTTGGCTTCTTTACGTTAAAGATTGTTAGGAAGGTTATAAGTAATCAGCTCAATGAAAAGCTCTGAAACCAAATGATATGGAAGCACTATAAGGAGTAAGATTCGGATTACCTTGTTCGATCGAATATCTCAAGGCAAAAACATTGTTTGAGATTCGAATCATTTCACAAGTAAGATCAATCATGTCAGAATGATTCTTGTTGATCAAATATCTCAACGCAAGAACACTTGTTTGGGATTCGAATCACTCCATAAATAAGATTAATCATGTCGAGTCTGAATGATTCTACATGACAACTTAAGAATTGCAAAAAAACTTAGTCATTAGCTAAAAAAAACACAAATGCTCCTTTTATTATATTTTCAAAGTTTCCTTACAAATACACAAATTCAAAATGAGCATTCCAATAGTAGTAAAATTCTTAATTTATGGTAAATAGAGTTGTAACATTCATACTTTAAGGGTATAATTGACATAAATGTAACCTAAGTAAATAAAGTCAATATATTAATAAAATATCTTTGATAATTGCAACAACATTTTCTCGATACTTCTTAATTCATATCGGAAAGAGTCCCACATTGAATTGAATTTATATTCAAAATGGACAATATCATATATCAATGTAGAGATCCATGATTTCTAACACTTTCCGATTCTTACTCATTTCGCCACTCAACTGTAAATAATTAAATCTCCCTTAAAAGTTGCTGTGAGTCCAATAACATTTTAAAAGACAAATTTCTGTTGGATGATGAGAGTCCAATAACATTTTAAAAGATAAATTTCTGTTGGATGATGAAAATTCCACGTCGACTAATTTAGGGAATGATCATGGGCTTATAACTGAAGAATACTAACTCCATTGGTATGAGGCCTTTTGGGAAGCCCAAAGCAAAGCCATGGGCTTATAACTGAAGAATACTAACTCCATTGGACTAATTTAGGGAATGATCATGGGCTTATAACTGAAGAATACTAACTCCATTGGTATGAGGCCTTTTGGGAAGCCCAAAGCAAAGCCATGGGCTTATAACTGAAGAATACTAACTCCATTGGTATGAGGCCTTTTGGGAAGCCCAAAGCAAAGCCATGAGAGCTTATGCTCAAAGTGGACAATATCAAACCATTGTAGAGAGTCGTGTTCGTCTAACATGGTATCAAAGTAATGCCCTAAACTTAGCCGTGCCAATAGATTGGCAAATCCTCGAATGTCGAACAAAGGACTCCGAAAAGAAAAAAAGGAGTCAAGCCTTCTCGAAGGTATGAAGGCAATAAAAAATGACTAAGACTCCAAAGGAGTCGAGCCTCGATTAAAGGGAGGCGTGCTTTGTTCGAGGGGAGGTGTTAGATGATAAAAGTTCCACATCAGCTAATTTAGGGAATGATTATGGGCTTATAAGTAAGAAATACTAACTCGATTGGTATGAGACCTTTTGGAAAGCCCAAAGCAAAGCCATGAGAGCTTATGCTCAAAGTAGACAATATCATACCATTGTGGAGAGTCGGGTTCGTCTAACAATTTCAAGTCTAGAGTGAATAAAAATTTCTATTTACATAATTTCCAGTGCCCAAACGAGGCCATTCTTTACCTCTCTCCCTCTATATCTGTGGTAAACTAACCATGGAAGACCCTACAACAACGAGATAGCCTTATATATATATATATATAGTAAATGCTTATTAAACATCTAAAAGCAAAGATGGTTCTTAAAAATGAAAAGGATTCATTCTAATGATCTCTTTCTCCTTCCCTCTGATCAACGAGCGTTCTTGACCAAAGCAATCATCAGCAGATGGTTGATCCAAATTCTGAGTGAGTCTGATGATTGCCATTGCCAAGAGGGCAAAGAGGGGGAAGGAGTTTGGAGTTTGATGTGGCCGTTTCCTAATTCTGGGCGTGTCTTTGTTGAACTGAATCAACGAAATGACATTAAAGTGCGAACTCTTTTCTCCCTCTCTGCTTTCTTCGCACTGCTTGTCCTTTTCAATTTCTGCAGCTCCTCCATTACCACTTTCTCCACTTTGTCTATGGAGTTCAAAAGCTTATTCTGGGGAGTCAGAATCTCCGCCCCTCCCACGTTTTGATTTGTGATTCCACGAAGAATCTTTGGCACTTTGCCTATGGTTGCCTTTGGGGTTACCAGAAAAATGCTTGCCTCTAAAACTCTTTCGTCCGAGGGAGCAGGACTAATATCACTTCCTGGGCCTTTGTTTTCTTTCATGCGAGCTCTCGTTCTTTCAATTGCCTGATTAAAAGAATAAGATTCTGTCAAAATTAACTACTGGAAGCTGCTGATAAAATATAGCCCAACCTTTCCTCGAATGAAAACTAGGAAAGAATGTCTAGGAAAAACGCGGGTGCTATTGAATGGCATAAAGCAGTAACTAAATACAGAGATGCCTACATGCAAAATCAAGCAAAATAAGATGAAAACTTTAAAAATGGGAATCTGAAGAAAAAATACAAAAGCATGAGCACACATGCAAAGCTTTAAAGAGAATTGAAAGAAACTCAATTCCTCCCTAACAAATATTATTCACTTTGGTCTGGTACATATCATCATCAACCTCACGGATTTAAATCGTGTCTACTAGAGAGAGGTTTCTACACTCTTATAAGGTATGCTTCATTCCTTTCTCTCTCCAACCAACGTGGTATCTCACGATTCACTCCCTTCGGGGGCCAGCGTTCTCGGTAGCACATCACCTAGTGTCTAACTCTCATACCATTTATACTGGCCAATAGACAAGATTTGTTAGAGTGGACTTAGGCTATTACAAATACTATCAAAGAAAGACAACGGACAATGTGCCAACCAAGATATTGGCCCCCAAGAAGTGTGGATCGTGAGATCTCATATTGTTGGAGAGAGGAACGAAGCATTCCTTTATAAAGGTGTGGAAACACCTCCCTATAAAAAAATAGAACGGAAAATCTAAAAAAGAATAATATTTACTAGAATTGAGTTTTAGCAAGGCTACCTTCAATTTTTTCACAAATGACTGCAAAAATATGAGGGAAGCAACTTACAGAGTTGGAAAGATTCAAGATGAATGATGCACGAATACAAACACGTGGCATAGTGAAGGTACGATGCATTATACCGTGATAATATATTTGCTAAAAAATAAGGACACAAAAAGCATACATTTCTAAAAATTATACATCCATTTTTTTACATTACGAAGATAGTTTTCTTAGAGGAGACATATTGAGCTACGGAATCCGACAGCAATAACACCCTGAAGCGAGCACACGATTTTATGAAGTAAGCCCATTTGGGTTTTGGCCCATTCACAAGTATCAAACACATGCTTAATAAGCATTATACACGTTCCACAAGTAATGATAATACCAGTGTTAATATGTATTTCAATCAGAATGTTAAACCATTATTGGCTTGTAAATGTACATTAATGATAATACCAGTGTTAATATGTATTTCAATCAGAATGTTAAACCATTATTGGCTTGTAAATGTGCATTTTTTTACATTCAAATTACATAGGGCCAAAATGATGATTGGGTATCAAGTCAACACATGCTAGTAACCAGCCAAAGCATATTTGAGCCCACCAAAAAGTAGTTCTAAAAACAGGTGAAAATGAAGCCTAAGAAACAATTAGAACCAAAGAAAAAAATAATTAATTAATACCAAAAAAGGAGCATTATGATAACTTTAATTAATGGTGGACAGGATCTCATTATCCAGACTGTTGATGTTTCATATGAAATCATTGGGCATGGACGTTACAAAACCAAAAGAATCTTCTTTTTAGACAAACAGGTTGGTAGTACATAGCTTAAAAGCACTGAAAATTTATTGATTAATTAACTTGAAGAAAAAGGAAAGTGATCCAACCTAAGAATTCACTAAAAGAATTAGAGATATGCATTAACATTTTCAGGCCAAAATCAATTCAAATCAAATCAAACCTAATGCTACCAACTGAAAAACAGAAACAAGAATAACAACTACACCAGAAAATCAAAAGGATCTTTCCCGAAGATCAAGCAAATTCAATTTTGAATGAATCCAAACAAGTATACTGTATCAGAGAACAATATAATACCAGAGACCATATGCAATAACAATGAGAGTGAATTTTCCATATATCATATGAATCAAATAAACTGGATACTACATCCAAGTAATCCACAAAATTATACGCAGAACAGAACAAAATCTTGAAAGATTTAGCAGAACAAAAACAAAGTAACAGGGGATTAGTCATTTACCCTCACAACTGCAGTTATGTCGCGGAGAGGAGTTCTTGGGTACCAAATCGGTAACACACTATTCCTCCCCCGAGATCTACTCCGCCGGGAGATCCCAGCCACCGCATTCTCGCGGCTCAACGCAGGAGATCTGTAGAGAAATCTATTTCGCCCAATTCCACCAGAAATGGGAGAACCAAAACTGCGTCTCAGATTCGTAGGTCTTTGTTGAGCTGTAGTCGTCGTTGTGGCGCGAGAAATCGGAGTCCCTAACAAATTAGTACTCATTTCTTTCTCATCCAATATACCTTCCGATCTCCAACGAGCAAATACCTCGGCATGATCTACTTGCCTCTCCAATCTATCTCTTGATTCCGACATTATGGAACTTCAAAAGGAAACGACAAGAAAACAATCATTTCAGAGAAAAAGAAAACAAGAGAAGCCCTAATCAAACTCTACAGTAACAAAAAACTCAGAATCTTTCAGTTTCAAACCAAAACTGACTATCAAACCTACATTTCATTTCTACATTCTCCAAAAAAAGTAAAACAAAAAATAAAAAAGGAAAAAGGGAAGATGGATTTGATTCATACCGTGAGATTCCAGCGAGCTTCAATGGAGTATTCTCGTTGTCCTTCGACCAAAACTAATCTTAAAAAAAAGCAAAAACAATGGCGGCGGATTGGAGGGAGGCGCTGTTCTGCAAAACGCGCAGTCGAAAAATGAGAGGGAAGAAGATGGAGCTGATTAGAACGAAGGCGAAATTTTTGGCTGATTTCAAATGCCAAAATTTGGGCGCTACTTAAATCCATTTTTAATTTTTTTTTTGCTTAAATTTATTACACGTGGCTTTTCTTTTCTTTTTTTCTTTTTTTTTTTTTTAATTTGAATTTCAAATTTGTTGGACGAGCGGGATCTTTTTCTTTTCTTTTTTTTCTGTTTTGCAATCTAAATTTTATTTAGCTTATGGTATGTTGATGTGAAATGACTATAAAGTCCTTATGTTTTATATTGACATTATAGTGTTAATCGAGTTTGAGGAGATCTGTCGGTAATTGACCGGATTAAGGTATCCGTTATTATCTTAAATATTAATGATTTGATGTTCGGATAATTATTAAATTTTATTTCTTCCCTTTGAAATTTGTATATTCAAATTGAATGAATTTAGTGAGCACAAATTAAAAGTTTTGAATTTCATTGAACCACAGGCTCCGGACCAAACTACATTAGGCTCGAATGCTCAGAGGCATAGACGATAACCTCAACAACCCATGCAAACGTGGCCCGTATCAGTCCCCCAACTCGTTCTGCCTCCAAACCACACATGCGCTTGGTCGTGCCCAACGCCTCATCCCAAAACCACACGGACCGTTTTGCCCACAAATGTGACCCGAACACCAGACTTGACCTAGAACGTGACCCTTGCCTCACATTTCTGACCCATGACTCGTATTTGACCTAACCTATATTGCAACCCATGCGCCACTCGAATTGGAACTTTGATGTAATCCAAAGCGTTTAAGGTCAATATAGCCACGGTTTAACAAATTTAAAATAATTGGAGTCAAGTTTGAATTAGTTAATGCAATTAAATGATTCAATTTTCATGATGATATCCTAAATATGATGACATCATATTTTGGTTGTATGAATGACATGTACTCTATGGTCTATCTACGTGTTATTTTCTTTTATACATTATGATTATATTATGCTTATGAATACTAAACCCATGTATGTTATGATACCATGATCATGTTATGCTTATGAAACATTGATTAACCATGTATGATAATAATTAAAGATATGTCATGTACTTGCATACATGTCTCATAAGAAAGTTATGTCCTGAAAAGAATGGAAGTATGATGTGCATCATAACCATGTATCTGATTTGAAGTCACACGACCTCATGCATGTTGTATATTACGAGCCAATTATATTTTTTCAATATATTTTATACAAGCACACACCATGATACCATACACTTGAGATAATGTAGCATGTGTTTGGGTGCCTATTAGTCTTCCATTGACCTCGTCCTCTCTCAGTTCTTCGTTTTGCCATCGTTCCATGCCAACCATTCATTGTATTGTTATTCATAGTGCCTCTCAATATATCCCAACTCGGTTGAGTTCAGTCAAATTGCTTTCTTTAATCAAGTTGGTTGGATTAACGAAACAACCCATTAAAAAATCGGGTTAGTTCAAAAATTATCATCACGCTATAAAATTCGGGTTCCTTATTGTTAAGGATATTGAATAATAAATTATAGTTTATCATATATATCATATTTGATATTTTATTATAATGCAAATATCTATATTTGCTTCTTACCAGAGTTATATTTCCATTTATTACTGTTTTTATATCTTTGTAATTTATTTGATTATAAATAAGATAACTTTCACACCATTTAGATGTGGTGGATTAATCAAACATTCTTATGGTATCAGAGCCCTCTCGGTTTAACAATCCAGATCTTTTCTTTTCAATGGCTTTTGAATCCTCTAATCTTCTTCTCCACTACCCCTACTGGCTTTGACGCTGCAGGGACAGTCTTCATGGTTGCCACAGACGGAGCCGATTGATTACTCTTCGGCTCCACCCTATTGACCTCCAAATCACCTTTCGTCATACTCTGTACATACAATCTCACCTTTTCCAACCCAATCGGTTTTCCCGCCAATATAGTCTCTCTCATTTTCTTCCCAATCAACCTTTCATCCTTCACAAAAACTCTAATCTCAAGATTCTCATCAGTGTTCTCTTCAGAAATATACAAAATCTCGACAAGCCCATCAACCTTGTGCAGAGATTTACCTTCAGAATCTGGGTGCCGCACTGGCCTCTTCACCAACCAAGTTGTCGCTGCCCTTCCTACCAAAATTGGCTCCTTCGCCCAATGTGGCGACTCTTCCGGCTTCAACATTGTCTTTGTCCCTTGCTCTAGGTTTCCCCTTCTACTTCTTGGGGTTAGACATATTCTCACCCGAGCCAAGGCAGCAGCTAAGCGACAGAGAGATCTAGACTGATCCGGAACATTCCTAAATCAATTAGAGAGAGCGAGAGAGATCCATGGGGTATCAAGCCAGGCTCTATACAAATTAGTAATACATTGAATTCATTTTTCTTAGTATAAACCAAGGTGGAATAGAAAAACAAGGTCCCAACTCAAATGATTATGGAATTATGTGAAGTTCACGAAGCAAAACAACACCCTTTTTTGACAGAATCCTGGTCTTGTCCAGGAACAATAATATTAGTTCCTTTAAACAGCGCCGCATTCCCACTAATATCTATTGCTTCCCCAGCTGCAAGGCTCTTCTTGCTGATTATCCTATAAATCTCTTTTAGAATTGTGAAGAACGCAGTCTCGACGTTTGTCGACTCGAGCGCTGATGTCTCCATGAAGAACAGGTTCTCTCTTTCTGCAAATTCTTGTGCATCTTCTGTTGGCACTGCTCTGAGGCTTCCTAAGTCGCATTTGTTTCCGATCAGCATTATAACGATGTTCTTGTCAGCATGTCCTCTTAGTTCTTCCAGCCACCGGGACATGTGATCGAATGACTGGCGCTTCGTCATATCGTAAACCAGCATCGCTCCCACTGCACCTCTGTAGTATGCACTTGTCACTGCTCTGTACCTGGCAATGCGAAAGACGAGATGTCTTCAGGAACTATAATAAATTTAACAGCAACATTCATTACTTAATGACATAACGACATCGAGTTTATGCATGTTATTTCAGAAGTCAGTTTTGATATCAGCAGACAAATGGGAAGTATTGCAATATATAAGCTACTGGGATTAAAGGAAAACTTGAATTGTTGATACATAAACTCCAAATATCAAACTCTGTTTTTCATTGAGTTTCATGTTTTCATCCGTTGGAGAGGAGAACAGGGGAACGAAGCATTCTTTATAAAGGTATGGAAACATCTCCCTAACAGACGCGTTTTATCCTTGAGAGGAAGTTCGAAAGGAAAAGTCCAAAGAGGACAATATCGGCTAGTGGTGAGCTTGGGTGTTACAAATGGTATTAGAGCCAGACATCGGACAGTGTGCCAGCGAGGACGCTGAGCCTTGAAGAAGAGTGAATTGTGAGATCCCACAACGATTTGAGAAAGGAAAGAGTGCTAGCGAGGACGCTGGGCATCGAAGGGGGGTGGATTGTGAGATCTCACATTGAATGGAAAGGGGAACAAAGCATTCCTTATAAGGGTGTGGAAACCTCCCCGTAGCAGATGCATTTTAAAAACCTTGAGGGGAAGCTCGAAAAGGAAAGACTAAAGAAGACAATATCGGCTAGCGGTGGGCTTGGACTATTACAGAAATGACATAAAAAATTGTTTAGTGCGTTTAGGTTAGAGTAAGAAAACCATGTCCCCAGTCTTAGAAGTAAAGTCCCATCTGTGCTTGTCTGCAGTACCCTTCATAATCTGCTAGACCCTGATGAGCTGAAACTTAATATCATCCAAAGCATGCAGCATCACAGCTTTGTAAGAGTTTGGTCCCTGATAAGACAGAAGACTAGAAGCAGGTTTGCCATACAATAGCTGAAATGGGGTAGCTATACATCCCAGATGACAGTATTTTTCATATTGGAATAACCTAACCCACCGCTACTAGATATTGTTCTCTTTGAACTTTTTTTCTCGGGCTTCACCTTAAGGTTTTTAACACGCATCTCAGGCTTCACCTCAAGGTTTTTAACACGCATCTGCTAGGGAGAAGTTTCCACACCCTTATAAAGAATGCTTCGTTCCCCCTCGAACCGATATGGGATCTCACACATATGCTAACCTCTCTCCCCTTTTATATGCATTCCCATACGATGGCCACACTACTCCGAACTACCCGAGTCCCACATAACACACCCTTCACTTTCACATTAGATTGCTTCTAGCAACTCCTTCTCTCGTGTCTTTTCAGAGCAAACATAAAATGAACCTATGGGTCACCAATCCTATCAGAGAAGTTTCATTTAATCTGAAACAGCTACAGCTAAATACAATATAAACAACAACCCAATATGAAAAATGTAAGCAGAGGAGGAAATAACTTCAACTAGACATCATTATCTAACACCCACGTTTCACTTCTTCGGATGATATCCTCCTAAGACTTGGTAGACAAATAGATATCTGCATTCTCGTAGGAATACAGATTAAACAACAACCATACAAGTCATAATTCTATTTGAGGCTTCCGAGCTCGTTGTGGTCTAACTGTTAGGAATCACAAACCTCCATAATAGTATGATACTGTCCACTTTGAGCATAAGCTCTCATGGCTTTATTTTGTGCTTCCTCAAAAGGCCTCTATATAACCCCACGATCATTCCCTAAATTAGCCAATGTGGGACTCTCTCCCAACAATCCTCCCCTTGAACAAAGTACAATATAGAGCCTCCCTCGAGGCCTATGAAGCCCTCAAACAGCCTCTCCTTAATCGAGGCTCAACTCCATCTTTGGAGTCCTCGAACAAAGTACACCCTTTGTTCAACACTTGAGTCACTTTTGACTACACCTCAACATTTGAGGATTCTATTGACATTAATAATTTAAGGGCAAGGCTTTGATACCATTACCATGTTAGTAATCACGAATCTCCACAATTGTATGATATTATCCACTTTGAGCATGAGCTCTCATAGTTTTTGCTTCGGGCTTCCCAAAAAATTCTCATACCAATGGAGATATATTCTTTACTACAAAACCCATGATCATTCCCTAAATTAGCCTACGTGGAACTCTCTTCCAACAATCCTCAACACAACTGACTCTATATTCTATCATACAATCATTCATTTAATTCAACCTAACAATTACCACAAAGCTCAAGAACATATATCCATTTTACAGATCCAAACATTGAACAATGAAGTAGTTTGCACAAGAAAGAAACCCAAAAGAATCAAGGGGCACTTACCGTTCTTGTCCAGCAGTATCCCATATCTGGGCTTTCACTGTTTTCTGATCAACAACAAGAGTTTTAGTCTGAAACTCGACTCCAATAGTAGCTTTGGAATCAACGCTAAATTCATTCCGTGAAAATCGAGCAAGGAGTTGGGTTTTGCCGACGGCCGAATCTCCGATCAACACAACTTTGAAAACATAATCAATCTTCTGGTTAAAATCCCCATATAGATTCGACATTCTCTCCCTCTCCAAATTCCCACAAACCCCACCTCGAAAACACGCAGATTATACGCATAACAACATTATAACCCCAACCAAATTGCCCATTTCCCGATCGTTACAAGTAAGGGAAGGGAAGCTGAATAATCGATCATCTCCCTGGAATTGGACCCAGAGGTGGGGTTTGAAGGGAATTTCAGAGAATAGTGAGTGGATGTTGGAAAGCTGGGATTGAAGAAGATGAAGGGGAGGAAGAAGAGAGATTGAAAAGAGAGCGAGAAGTGGAATTAGAACAACGGCCATTGTGGGGTATCACCAACGGTTTTGTGGCCTTCAACGTGTAAAATTAGCGTTCAAAATGGATATGCATTTACGAAATTCGGTGTCATTTTGAGTCCGCCCCGCTCATCAAACTCACCGTCAGGTCACCAGAAATATTTTTAGCCTCTCTTTTAGTTTCATTTCCGGTAAGAAATATTATCTGACATTGTATACAACTTTTAAAATAGAGCAAAGTTGGAGTGTTTATATGACTCGATCTCGACCCATCTAAAATGTCTTGGACTATCTAACCCAAACCATAATAGTAGAATTGGGTTAGATTTTTTTCGTGTGGGTTATGTTGAATTTTTGAAAAACTAAAAATATATGGGTCACCTCTCAATTTGACATTTATTTGGTTGGATTAATCCGAACAACTCGAAACTAGATTTACAATCCACCCCAACTCTACCTTACTTCTAAGATTATCATGAAAATTAAAAATATTTGATCTTAATAACCGATATTAGTGATACATTGTGACGGGAGAAAAAAAGCAATTAAGAAAAGGACAATCACACAATTCAACCAAACTAGAGTTGGGTTGAGTTGTGAACTTTATTTGAGTTGTTTGGGTCACCAAGCTCGTAGCTCGTACGGTAACAAATTTTAATAAGGTTTCATATGGATTTAGAGTGTCATTCGAGAAGGATTGGAAAGGAAAAACAAATTCTAAAGGGCAAAAATGACATTTTTTAAATTTTAAGAAAATTTGACGATTTTTAATTAATTATAGAGGAGTGTAAGGGTGCTCGATAATGGAAGGACCAAAAAAAGGTAGAGATTTTTTTTAAAAATTAATAACAAAAACATTTTAAAAAATAGCAAATGACCAAAATACCCTTAAAATTTAAAAATAATTATGTTTTTTTGCACTTAATCCCAAATTAATTAATGGATGTTTGATATGTTTTAGAATTAACACATTTATCTTTATAAAAAAAATTCAAAAAATTCTAATTTTTAATATTATTTTTTAAAATTCATGAATATTTTTTAAATTTATATTTACATTAAAAAAATTAAAATGTTTTTGAAATTTTTAAAAGAATTTAAAGGTATTAATGAAATTTTTGAAAATTAAAAGGTATTTATTTTTAAGATAAAGTATAAACGATTTTCCTCCAGATGGTTTTTTTTTAGTTTTAAGATTTTAAAGGAGGAAAAACAGAGAAGCAATGAGACCGATAGGTTCAGGGGCAGGGTAGAATACAAGGACAGCTAGACCAGTGAGCTATTACGCTTTCTTCAAAGAATGGCTGCTTCATCAGTCAAATCCCTATCAATAATAGGCCGGAAGGAATGGTGGGGTGGAGTGGACAGTACTCATTATGGAATGGATCAACAACATTGCCAAGAAAGACAAACAAAAGGAAAGAAAGGGGAGAACTGTATTACTGAAACTTTTGAAAATTAATAGTGTTTTTTAGACAAAGTGTAAAGTTAGAGAATAATTTTTAATTTAGCTAAAGTTGTTCCAATGATTGGTATAATTTTCCTTCTCATCGACTATTTAAAACGAGTCAGTTCCAAAAAAAACTTCATTTCTCGTTACGGGAAGAAACAACAGATCCACGAGAGAAGAAAAAAGAGAAAGTGAGAATGCAAAAGAGAACGAAAAAGAAAGGAAATTGTAAATTATAAAAAATTTCAACGGGATAAAAAAAAATCAATCTTTTCGTTCATGTTTGTTAAAAGTGAGGAATAATCGATTAGTTTTCTAGCATCCGATGTTATAGACTTGAAGATTTTTTTCTAAGACAAATTCATCGTTTTTCGCTCGTCGAAAAGGAATCCTATGACCTTTTCTTGTGGTCACTTTTTAGTACCTTGACTCATCAAAGTTCTATAAACTATATTATAATCTACGAGGGTCCGTTGCACAATCACACTTTTGCAGTAGCGGAAAAGTGTTGTGCGACACTGGTTCTAACCCAAGGAAATTCAGACTTCACAAACAATATTGGTGAATGCTCGAGCCTTGAGTCATGTTCAAAAGAAACCTTTTGAAAAATATGACCGAGGAAATAGTTAAAAACAATTGTAAAGAAGATAGTGTTATAAGCTAAAAGCGAACCAGCAACAACTTTGATAGCATATAACCTAAGTAGGAAGAATTGACAACTAGTCTCATTCAATTAGAGTACATTTTGAGTCATTTTAGCCCTAGTGGGTATAGACATGATTTTGGTGACCGGTCATATACTCCTACTATATTGACACAATAATAATAGTAAAAGTATATCTAACATGAAAGCAGGTAGGAGTTTGGAACGGGCATGCAACTACAAGCAATACGTCATGGACGAGCATAGTCAAGACATCCGACATGTAGAGCTACGAACAACATGTTTTCGACAAACATGACCGTGACACCCACCACGATTGTTGTTTTGATTAACTTTGGGTTCATCCAAATAATGGCACAACTCTTAGGATTGTTGTTAGCCTAATTCATCACATATCTCACACCTACCTACCCAATCTGAAAACAATGTTACAACATACTACTTTTCACTGAGATTTAATTCGATCGAGACACTCCGACACCATTCTCATTCTCGGACGCAGCTCGGGATCAAGCTCGGTGCAATTCAGTGCAATATGAAACGTCGAAACGACTTGTTTCTTAGCATAAATCTCAGGCACAAGTGTAGGGTCGATAACATCAGTCAATGGCCGCTCTTCTTGAAACGCCTTTCTCACGAAACATTCCAACCCCTTCCCATCATTTTCCGATACGACATCGGCCAATCTACCGCTCAAAAGTTCAAGAATCACGATCCCGAACGAGTACACGTCGCATTTCTGCGTGTACTTCCCTCCAAACTCCCGAACCTCTGGCGCCAAGTACATAGCCGAGGGACTCGAAATGCTTGACCCCATGATTGAGCTTATCATGTTCTGGTTTGAGCTCAACTTCTTGGAGGAGGTTGGAGTGAACTTAGGTGCTCCTTGGCCGAGACGACCAAGTCCAAAACCTGAAATGTAAGGCTCGAAATCGTCGTCGAGAAGGATTTTTGTAGATTTTATGTTTCCATGTACGTATTTTCGAGCACCGAATTCATGAATGTGGGCCAAACCCCTTGCAGCTCCTTGAGCAATTTTTAACCTTGCAGACCATGGCAGAGGTGACAAAGAACTCGACAGACTTCCTGCAATATACATCACGAGATCGTCACCAATTCCGAAAGGAAATACGAGTCGATAAGTTACACTGACATTAGAACGTGTCATAAACGAAAGTATAGATCTCAAGATCCTTTCACATTCTGCATAAGAATAAAATATGGGAAGTAAAAGTCCAAAACATCGTCACAGGATATGAGAACAGAGAGCATATAATATGACAAACCACAAACAGTGCTTTCTAAGATAAATCATTAATCACTATGTACTTGAAAGTTACTTCAAACTTACTCCAACAGCCAAATAAATAGAGGGAAGAGACGAAAAATGTAATAATCTAAGTCCACTGCTACTAAATATTGCCTGTTTTGACCCACTATGTATCACTGTTAGCCTCACAATTTTTAAAATGTGTATGTTAGGGAGAGGTTTTCACACTCTTATAAGGAGTGCTTCGTTCTCCTCTCCACCTGATGTGAGCTTCTACAATCCACTCCATTTAGAGGCTTAACGTCCTTGTTAGCATACCGCTCGGTGTCTGGCTCTGATACCATTTGTAACCGCCCAAGCCCACCGCTAGCAGATATTGTCCGCTTTGGCTTGTTACGTATTACCGTCAGCTTCACAATTTTTAAAACGCGTCTGTTAAGAAGAGGTTTCTGCACCATTATAAGAAATGATTCGTTTCCCTCTCCAACTGATGTGGGATCTCACAATCCACCCCCCTATGGCCCAGCATCCTCGCTGGCACACTGCCCAGTGTTTGGTTCTAATACCATTTATAACTGCCCAACCCCACCACTAACAGATATTGTCTACTTTAGCTCGTTACATATCACTGTCAACTTCATGATTTTTAAAACGTGTATGTTAGGGAGAGGTTTTCACACCCTTATAAGGAAGGCTTCGTTCCCCTATCCAACTGATGTGAGATCTCACAATCCACCCCTGGGGCCAACGTCCTCACTGACACATTGCCCAGTGTTTGGCTCTGATATCATTTATAACAGCTCAACCCACCACTAACAAATATTGTCCATTTTTTTGCCATTCTTTAAAACGCATCTACTAGGGAGAGGCTTCCACACCCTTTTAAGGAAATCTTTATTCCTCTCTCCGACTGCTACCCTCTTGGGACCCAGCACTCTCGCAAGATAAACTGCCCAATATCTGGCTCTGATACCATTTGTAACAGCTCAAATCCACCTCTGGCAAATATTGTCCATTTTCACTCGTTACGTATCACCTTCAGCCTCGCATCTGTTAAGGAGAGATTTTCATATCCTTATAATAAATGCTTCAATTTCTTCTCCAACGAACGTGGGATCTCATAATAAATATCATATACCTAACATATGGCTATCCTATTGATTAAGACCTATTAATAATGGGGTTTGACAGAGAGAAAGAAACAAAGAGGACCACATAAAATTCATGGCACCTGCACTGCATGCTTCAAAATATTAGGGATATAAAGTTCCAATAAAGACAAAGAATGACCAGCAGTGCCATCTTGTGAAGGATCAAAGATGCCCCAACATTAAAAACTCCAACTTAATTCACAACCAACCAAACCAAATAGATTCGTATCAATCGTTCAATGTCTTATTAGACATAAACTTTAATTTTATGTCTAATAGATTCGCTAATTTTAAACGAGTATCAAATATGTTCATGAACATACTATCCACGGACATAAAGTTTAAGAACTTATTAGACAACACTGTGGCATGACGTTAGGACAATCTATGAGTAACTTAATACAAAAATTAACACAAAGAAGACAAAAGCCAATAATTAAGCCAACAAATGTGGGGAGAGAAATAAGTCCACTTACCTAGGTTAGGCTTTTGTTTTGTAAGTATCTAGTCAACCTT